TGGCATGCTGGTACTGGTGGTCCCCCCGCAGGAGAGAGAGAGCTCTGACATATGCCACAATGCTGTATAGAGAACACTGAGCCAGTCACATTAGTTTCTGTACAGAGGAGCTTACACTCTAATGCAGAATGACTCAGGCTGTAGGGGAACTACAAATCCCAGAAATACATTATACAGCAATGCAGAACAGTATATGAATTGGACTCTGGACTTAGTAACGCACTGGACTCAGGACTTAGTAATGCACCAAGCTCTGGCCTTAGTAACGCACTGGACTCTGGACTTAGTAACGCTCTGTACCCTGGACCTACCTGAGACCCCAAACATACCTGAGAGTGCTCTGCAGAGCACACCATAGATCCTGCACAGCCCATCTGAGACTCTCTATGGTGGGCTCTGCAGGGTCCCAGGTGGGCTGGTCGCAGTGGTCCCTTTCGATGCACATGCTCCTTACCTGCCACTGCTGGGGCCCGGACTCTTCTGACGGCGGATCGGCCTCCTCCACCTCGCCGAACATGCCGAACCTGGTATGGGCCTGTCTAAGGACTTTGTTAATTGACCAATAACTCCAAAGACAGGAAGGCTAAATGGCTCCTGTCTGAATCGGCTCTGTATGTATGCATGTGAGATAGGGACCTTGTAAGCTCCTTGAGAGCAGGGTCTGATGTGAATGTCTGCGAATTTACATTTACAACCATGTAATTTGATTATTGTGCTGAATAAACAATTTACATAGTTGTAGACTGCACAAGTAATAAAAAAATACAATTCTTCTCTGATAGAGGGAGAATACAAGCAAATTATAGAGAAGTGATACTCACCATGTTTTTCATTTTGGGCAGACGCCTTTGCCAGCATATGTATATGAGCCCGGCGACGATGATCATGACGCACACGGAACCGATGATGACCAAAACAGTAAAGAGTTTGCCGTAATCGCTCCGGGGTGGACTGGGGCGCGACTGGCAGCTGACCGTGCTGGAGTAACTTTCGATCCCGATCTGTAAAGAAGGGAATGTCAACATTTATTTATTCTGCCGAAGAGTACCTGTCACTTTCATGTCAGGGATCTGGGCGTCCTCTTCTGATTGTGAAGCTCTATTTGTAGCACAAGGGTGGGCAACTCTGGCACTCCACCTGTGATTTAAATACAAATCCCATCATGCCTCTGCCTCTGGGAGTCATGCCTGTAACTGTCAAAGTCATGCAATGCTTCATGGGACTTGTAGTTCCACAACAGCTAGAGGGCTCGAGTTGCCCACCCCTGTTGTAGCATCTACTATTTTTTTCCTAGGACTAGGAACACTAGTCCTATAAGGGGAGGAAGTCCCCGAAACATTTTTATCAAAGGACAGAAAAAGAAAACAATTGGTGGACTGGGACCAAAGAATGGAATTATTACTAAAGTCTCATCAAAGCCATACAAAGACTAATAATAATAGCCACATTTGTATAATGTTTGGTAAACATGAGAAAAAGAAATTCTTAGATACACACATATATTTATATTTTATTCTTATAATTTTTTTCTCAAAGCTGAATTCCGGGATAAGCAAATATTGTCTAAATACAAGATCCATGTGTATTTGATAGGGTTGCACCCATACCAGGTACAGTACTCAGTACAAGTACAGATACGTTTCCAGCTCCAAGACTAGACTAGAGAAAAATTAAAAAATTAGGAGGCCGCTGTCATTTGTAAGGAGCACAAGGAGCTCCCGGGATTTGTACATCTGTTTTAAAGTACAATTTTGTTTTTATAAATATAAATAAAGGGATGCAGATACCAGTTTTACGAGTACTGGTACTTGCCGAGTACTTACAAGTACGAGTACTGATACATTTTTGTTTATTGTCATGTGACAGTTTTTCTAAAACAATACAGACTAATGATTTCAGGACAGCGGTGGAGTGCCAGAGCCAGGTCCCAGCTGCAGCCGCTGCAACCCTGGTAGTTCTCATGAAAATGCCAAGTATCTGCACTGGTACTCGAAAAGTATCTGTCCATCCCTAATATTTGATTTTTTTGGGAGAAGTAACTTAAACATTCTCTTCTACCAAAAGCCCCAACCTGCAGGCATATTTTTATTTTTTTACGGCTTACTTACACTATAAATGATCCAATAATGGGCATCTCTTAAAGCTGAACTCCAGACACAAAGATTCTCATTGAGATATATTCAAAAACAGCTACAAAAGGACATAAATCCCGCTTGGGTGAACCAAATATCTTTACAAAGCTAGTTATCACCTTGTAAACGTAGCAGTGACATCATCGCTGTGCTGTATTGCGCAGAGAGCAGAGCTGTGGGAGGGACCAGCAGGCTCCACCCACTACAGGCTGCCTGCAGAAACCTACAGGAGGGGGCGGTGACAAGACCAGTCACCCTGCACAAGGACAGAGAGCAGCAGTGACTGGTCTTTATTACAGGAGGGGCGGAGACAGGTCCAGTCACCCTACACAAGGAGAGAGAGCAGCAGTGACCGGGCTTTATTACAGGAGGGGCGGAGACAGGTCCAGTCACCCTACACAAGGAGAGAGAGCAGCAGTGACCGGGCTTTATTACAGGAGGGGCGGAGACAGGTCCAGTCACCCTACACAAGGAGAGAGAGCAGCAGTGACCGGGCTTTATTACAGGAGGGGCGGAGACAGGTCCAGTCACCCTACACAAGGAGAGAGAGCAGCAGTGACCGGGCTTTATTACAGGAGGGGCGGAGACAGGTCCAGTCACCCTACACAAGGAGAGAGAGCAGCAGTGACCGGGCTTTATTACAGGAGGGGCGGAGACAGGTCCAGTCACCCTACACAAGGAGAGAGAGCAGCAGTGACCGGGCTTTATTACAGGAGGGGCGGAGACAGGTCCAGTCACCCTACACAAGGAGAGAGAGCAGCAGTGACCGGGCTTTATTACAGGAGGGGCGGAGACAGGTCCAGTCACCCTACACAAGGAGAGAGAGCAGCAGTGACCGGGCTTTATTACAGGAGGGGGCGGTGACAAGACCAGTCACCCTGCACAAGGACAGAGAGCAGCAGTGACTGGTCTTTATTACAGGAGGGGCGGAGACAGGTCCAGTCACCCTACACAAGGAGAGAGAGCAGAAGTGAGTGGTCTTTATTACAGGAGGGGGTGGTTACAAGACCAGTCACCCTGCACAAGGACAGAGAGCAGCAGTGACCGGTCTTTATTACAGGAGGGGGCGGTGACAAGACCAGTCACCCTGCACAAGGAGAAAGCAGCAGTGACCGGTCTTTATTATAGGAGGAGGCAGAGACAATATCAGTCACCCTGCACAAGGACAGAGAGAAGTAGTGAATGGTCTTTATTACAGGAGGGGCGGTGACAAGACCAGTCACCCTGCACAAGGACAGAGAGGAGCAGTGACCGGTCTTTACTGCAGAAGGGTGTGGAGACAAGACCAGTCACTCTGCACAAGGAGAGAGAGCAGCAGTGACCAGTCTTTATTACAGGAAGCTCCAAGTTTTGCACAGATTTGGAAGAAATACATAAAGCTCACCCAGCTTCAAGGAAGAATACACAAGACTCTTGTATGAGGACAATATTTGCCTATCCTAGGGATCAGTCTTAACCCAATAAAGCGGTCCGGGTCCTTAGAGGAGATGCCTGAATGTCTCCGCAGAGCTTTGATGGATGGGTGACACGGTACTATACTCTACTACTAGAGAAAGACTTGAAAGGTTAAAATGCAACCCCCTCCCCTGTTACCCTTTTTTCCCATTTTCCTACAGGCCTAATCCTATGGAAACATTATTTTGATCAGAAAGCTTAGATCCCAAGCACCCTACCCAAGAGAGGCAATGCCTATCTATTGGTTGTGTACCCCACTGACCTCCGCGAGGCTTAGTTTTATGTCACCCAGCGCCATAAAGACGTCCTTGGCAGGGACCACACCTTGAAGAAGGAAAGGAGATACAAAGGGTTAGACCGCATGTAGAGAGTCACCATTACCCACAGTGACCGGACACCAAAGCCTGAGCGCACGTGGACGCTCGAAGCTTGCCGTAACTTACGCTCCTCCTCTGTGACCGTCATTAGCAGGTGATTGTCGTTCTCATTAGGCTTGCTCAGGAAGATCACCCAGTCCCTCTGGGGTGGTTCTGACTTCCACGACAGCGCCCCCTCCAGGAGAGACAGCAACTGTTGTCCTTTTCTCCATCGGAACTCTTCCTGCAGAATAAAGAAGAAGCTCCATTAAAGGAAAAAAAAATGACAAGGGAAGACATGAGGATCCTGTAAACTCCGGCTCCTATCCATGCACCTGCCCATCCTGGCCCAGGCTCTATAGCTGAAATGCATTGACATCCACAGGGAGGTTCATGTCTTGGCAGGGCCAAAGCTTGGTTGACCAGCATTACAAAACTTTCCCTTCAAGTAAACCTTCCCCTGAAAGAAATATGAAGGCCGCCAATGCACAAGTTGCTTGATCTCCTCCATGTTTTTGACTAGGAAAGGTTTCCTTTAAAGCTGACTTAAAGTCCTTCTTCTGAACAACCCCCCATGACCAAATCCCTCTCACCCCACCCGTCCATACCCATTAACACATGGCGTAAAGAAAAATACACATGGCACCTTATTTTTAACTTGTCGGAGTTTGCCATCACATGACCCTCGGCAGCACCTCTTCCGATAACGAAGATCGGTGATCCACTTCTTCAGCCTGGAACTGCCTATGACCAGTCTTGTTGTAGCCCCTTGATGTGATGTCATACCACCACTGGAGTCTTCTGGACCCTGTGAGGACCCCGTCATTTGGCAGCCAATGGGAAAAGTCCATATTACCAGGGACCTTCATGGGTACCCGAAGAACGACCCTACAACTCTACAGCCAATAAGAAAAGTCTATATCACCAGGGACCCTCATGGGTAACTGAAGAACGACCCTCCCACCCTTCAGCCAATGGGAAAAGTCCAGGGTCCGTCATGGGTACCTGAAGAACGACCCTCCCACACTTCAGCCAATGGGAAAAGTCCATATCACCAGGGATCGCCATGGGTACCTGAAGAACGACCCTCCCACTCTTCAGCCAATGAGAAAAGTCCATATCACCCGGGACCGCCATGGGTACCTAAAGAACGACCCTCCCACCCTTCAGCCAATGGGAAAAGTCCATATCACCAGGGATCGCCATGGGTACCTGAAGAACGACCCTCCCACTCTTCAGCCAATGAGAAAAGTCCATATCACCCGGGACCGCCATGGGTACCTAAAGAACGACCCTCCCACTCTTCAATTCAGAAAACATTAACTTTATTGAAGTTTTTCTAAATTTACCTACAAAAATCAATTTTACTGATCTAAATCTGTGGTCACCTGATGTGCTCCAAGTTTTCTGAATTGACGAGTGGGAGGGATCTTCTTCAGGTACCCATGACGGTCCCGGGTGATATGGACTTTTCCCATTGGCTGTCAACTGATGGGGTTCCCACAGGGTCCAGGAGACCCCAGAAGTCGGATGATGTTACAACAAGAGGCTACACCAAGACTGGTCCGGGCTGAAGGGGTGGATTACCGGCCTTCTCTAGTGGAAGAGGTGGTACCGAGGGTCATGTGATGGCAAACTCCGGCAAGTTAAAAATAAGGTGCCATGTTTTGGCTTGCTCAGTTAAGGTTTGAAAATGAAAGAAAAAAGTTGATTGGTTGCCCTGGGCAACTGCTCCAGATTTTGTCTGCTCCATTGTCGATAAGTTACCCTCACAGTAACTTATATAAGTACTGAAGTCTGTACAGTTCTATCCGGACTTCATAGTTTGTACAATCAGATTGTAATACGTGTGACCGGCTGAAAACTGGAAACTCATCCCTAGCAGCACATTTCCTTTACTCCCCCTCGTCTTCTGTTCTGCAGCGGGAGCTGGAAATACCCATATATTTCGGATACGGGGGACCAAGTGGCCCACACAGACCTTTCTTTTTGCCACGCGGGAATGAAAGAGTCGTCAGCTTACAGAAAAGGTCACCGAGCAGTTCCGCATTCCTCCCTCCCTCTACGGCTGTCTAATCCCCTCTGCTGTTTCCATGGCAACCCAGAGACCCTGGAGATGGTTAATAAGGACAGTTGTCATGGAGACTGGTACATCTCGGGGCAGGCTCCGGCCTGCACATCTATTTTTTCAAAGGCTGCATGAGGAGGTTCAAAGCAAAAAAGTGCCGGATGGTGTTGGTCAATTCAAGTGGAAGATTTTCGGTACTTACGCAATCGATATCGTCCGACATGTTCAGGATGATGTAATTTTTTCCGGCCAAATTTATCCAGTCTTTGCAGATTACCTGAAAATAGACAATTTGTGTTTAATGTTCCGTGAAATAGAAATGTTTCCGAAGGTAATGGAAGAATGCAGCAGGAATAATGTGTCAAATTGTAGGTTCACCTTAACCATGAGGACAAAGATTTTAGCATTTGATACTGGTCAACTGTCATCCTGCCTCAACCCCCCCCCCCCATTACGCCCAATGGTTCCTCCCATCGGCCCACTATGTCCTGTGCTGATGTAGAAGCTAGTGGAAGGAACCACAGCACATGGAGGGGGAAGCAGGAATAATCTATCAAATTGTAGTATTAAATATGAGGATAAAGTCTATAGCTTTCAACACTGGTCAACCTCCCCAGCCCCTGCAATGCTTAACGGTTCCTCCCCCCAGTCCGTATGTCCAGTGGTGATGTAGGAGCTTGCGGGAGGAACCACAGCACGTGGAGGGGGAAGCAGTAATAAAATCACAAAATTCAGCATTAAATATAAGGACAAACTCTATAGCATTCAACACTGGTCATTTGTCACTGGTTGTTAGGACAGCCCAGTGGTCCTAGCAACCAATGACTGCAGAGGAGGTGGACCCCTGAAGTCATTGGTTGCTAGGAGCCCAGTGGTCCTAGCAACCAACAACTGAAGAGGAACACACTTCGGACATGGAGCATGCACCAGCCTTGGGGGCCAGCGCATTCATTGTAAGCCAATTATAATTGAGTGCAAGTCGGCGATCAGTCTGTTTCCCAACTGTGTTCCTCTTCAGTTGCTGGTTGCTATGACCACTGGCCTCCAATGATGACAGGGGACCATCTCCTCTACCGTCATGAGCTGCTAGGCCTGCTGGTCAGTGAACTGCGTGCCAGAAGGGACCGACAAAAGGCCTAACAAGGCCTGCGGGCCCTAAAATGCCCTGGTCTGGTGTGGATAGTCCCTTTAAAGAGAACCTGTTACAATTTGGTTCATGCAATAATCTGATTTTTTTTTACTGTGCTGGCTTATGAAAAAGTGATACTTACAACCTTGTTGAGATTTACTTTGTTTGTCACAGGGTGGCTCTTGGAGTTAAGATGCAGAGGAGAGAGGGCCCCTGAAATCTCACAGGTGATGCTCTGTCAAGGGCTGGACCCATGCTGATAGTACACTTTGTCTTCCAGCTCTAAAGTAACTGCAGCAATATCAGAAACTGGACCCTGAAGTTATGTACGTCCCTCTAGAGTTACATGGCTCTGTTATGTGATATTGTTATGCACACTCCGGAGACGGGGTGTATTATCACTATGAGGTCAGACAGTTTACAGGACAGCAGATGTCAGTATTCCTGGGACCTCTCAGCTCTATCTCCCAGGACTTTCAGTAGTCCTCAGGCAGAGTAAATTCATCTAAAAAAAAGGGCAAATATACATAGTTCATAGGTAAGCCTGCACAATTATGATCATTAAAGCTGGAACATTGAGATTATTGCATAAGCCCCATTGAGACAGGTTCTCTTTGGTTTGAAGCTCCTTTTCAGGGGGAGTTCTTCCCCTGAATAAACCCTGGTGTATATTCACCTGCTCTGTACTTGGTGACAGCTGCATGGGGGCCACAGCCTTTGTTGGGTCTTCTTCCCGTTGAGTGGAAAACACTGCCGGAATATCAGGCTTCTCTTTGCTGTTGGCAGCAGGCAAAGATTGGTTGGCCGCCATACTTTCATTGCTCATGTGTCCGGGGGGGAAATGTCCCGCACCATGACCCCGTGAATCTGCAGGAGGTCCGGGATGAAGTTCGGACTCTGACTTGTGACCAGCGTGATGGCCTCTGGACCCAGAATGTTTCTTGTTCTTTCGAGGCGGCTTGGCAGTTGGGTTGGAAAAGGTGGATGTCATCCTAGGAGCCGTCCTCTCCTCCAGGTCCGGGACTACAGATGTTGTGTCGTCGTGTATGGGCTGTAGGGGGTCTTCCTTGGCAAGGACTTTAATGACTGGGGATACTGGTCCGGGAGTCTCGCTGGCCTCTGTGGGCCACCATGTTGTAGACGTTTCCAAAACTTCTTTAGCCAAAGTGCTTGTCTCATCTTGGGTGACCCTGCTGTCTGTGGACACGGGTTCGGCTATAACAATAATACAAAAACATTTGGTACATTTGTTTAGTACATTTTCTAGGAAATGTTAGAAGACAGAGAAGGAGAAAGTTCAGCAGGGGTGGCGTTTATATCATTCTCTATGTATAAGCCTCATGGACAGTTTGACTAATAGACTCGACCTTAGGCAAACAGTCAAGTCCAGTTACTGTGCAGTACCAGTGAGAAGGAAGCAATGTCTGAATAGGTAATGAGCAGCCATGGCTTCCTTCTTCTATACTGTTTTACAACAGTGACGTGCGGTACCTTCGGTTCTTGGCAAGGCAGCCCCCAGCCCAGTTAAAGCCCTGCCCCATGCCGCCGAAGCCCACCCCCAGCCCACCAAAGCCCCGCCCCAACCCAGTCCCCAAGCTAGTGTGAAGGAGGGAGGGAGGAGGAAGGGAGGAGACATGGAGGAGCCTCCCTGTCCCTCACTTGCTCGTCACTGCTGAGGCAACGAGATGGATGGCCTCACTGTTTTTTTTTTTCTTTTTTTGATTGGACAGCTTGGACCAATGGCGTTTTGCCATTGGTCCAAACCATCCAAAGAGCTCATGCCTCTAACACAGAGTAGAGGCTGTGACAGCTCTTGCCTCACTAGTTAGGTTACACAAGCAATGGGGAAGCCCGCTGCTGTGTCACCTAACTACCTGTCAAAAGCCGGATGCAGCGCCTTTAATTACCATCCAGGCAAGACAAACACACTCAACAATTTGTCACCAGCTATACTGGTGACGTGTATCCAAACCTCTGTTATTAACCTTAGTGGTGAGACAAATTGTTTTACATGCTGGTTTGTGAGTGTGCCATGATACCTTTCTACTGTTTTACTGTTCAAAGCCCATTTCGTGTGCACCTTACTGTATAGCTGGTGACAAATTGTTGAGTGCGTTTGTCATTTGTTTTGCTTGACCGATTTGGTGCAGTGACGCATGGGGGTTCTCAGCTGCCATTGGGATGTGCGGGATCCCTTGTGTGTTCCTGTGCCTTTAAGGAGGTTGGGCTTCCTCCTGACAAACCTGCACCCAATTTGAAATCTTCTGCCCCCATGTGCACCAAGATGGAGACTCTCATAGTTTAGAGTTAGGACCGCACTATAAGAGGTGCCTTGGCGCGGCTGTGCGGCTTTCACATTTTCTGCAGAAGACGTGTATCCAATCCTCTGTTATTAACCTTAGTGGTGAGACAAGTTGTTTTACATGCTGGTTTGTGAGTGTGCCATGATTCCTTTCTACTGTTTTAATTACCATCCAGCGCTCAGTCCATGACAGGTTACACAGCGGGGAGGCTTTCACTGCTCTGTAACCTGTTACAAGCCGATCTGAATGGAGAAAAAGCTGTCAGCTTCAGATTGAAGCTGACAGCTTTTTCCTCCATAATACTAGGGAAGGCTCTGCCTCACCTGTCTCCCCTGACCGCACGTCCCTGTTTTACAAACTAGAGGGGAAACAGGAATTTATACGTGGACGGGCCTGCACATTCACTCTGCACCCACATTCATTACCACGAAGGGTGAAAGCTCTCACTGCGGCCCTTAAGAAGGGTTCTACTTTTCATAACCAGCCCAGCAAAAGTAGACATGCCTTTGCTGTAATGGATGACATCATTGTGTTTTATAAACCAGACTGGTAATCTCTAACTGATTATTAGGATTGCATTAAAGTGTATCTAAAAAATAAAATGGAATACATTGCAACTTAACACTCCTTAGATGTGGTTGCTGCATTAGTTTTCTTATTTTTCAGGCTTTTTTTCCTTAATACCCTGGTAATCCTTGCAATAAAACACTTCCTGTCCTAGGGTGACAACGCTCACTCACTGTAATGTGTCAGTTCAGCTCACTAGATATTAAAGGTATTTGGCTTTCTTGAAGGATCAACACAGATCAGATGTGGGATTGTTTTAAAAACACAGTACATACTGCTACTTCAAAGTGTATACCTTTAGGGAGCAAAAGCAAAAGATCAAAAACTAAACCTATATGGCTTAATAAAACTGTAAAACAACACGTCAAGGACAAGAGAGCGGCATTTATAAAATATAAGACGGAGGGGACGGCCTTGGCATTCCTTAACTACAAAGAATGTAACAAAAAATGCAAACTAGTAATCCGGGAAGCTAAAACTGAGTGCGAAAAGCATATCGCCGCAGATAGTAAAAAGAACCCCAAAAAATTCTACCAATATATTAACAGTAAAAAGGGTAGAAAGCAGGACATTAGCTGCCCTAGCTGAGGTAGCCCTTGTATTGCCGACAATGCCTTGACTATATTTGTTTATCGATTCTATGTTTCCCCATCTGTTTGAATGTAACTTTGTAAACCTCAAAATAAAGAATTTATTAAAAAAAAAAAAGGGTAGAAAGGAGCAGATAGGCCCAATAAAGGACGCAAGCGGGAAGCTAGTAGGGTTGCCACCTCTCCAGGATTCACCCGGACAGTTCGGGTTTTGAATGCTATGTCCGGGTTATATATATAATATATGACATTGTTGTTCTTGGGAGTAGATATTCTTTTATAGGAGAATTGGGTTATTGTGATTTCTGCTGCATATTGTATATCCCCGAGATACAGTTATGAACGAGTCCAGCAGCATCAGTCTGAATCATCACTGCAGGGGATTACACACATTTCTACATCTGTAAATATCTCCCTGCAGATCCGCAATTACTATCTTCTGATGGATTACATTACAGTGGCTCCCCTGTGACTTTTTTGGCTGGTTGTGTGTAATATTTCAGTTTTTAATTGGCAGGAGCGGCTCAGCTAATGATGCTACGGTGCAAGTTTAGCCCAGGACTTTATTAACCATAACAGCTCTTGTGGGCCAGTGTTTGGGAGCAATAAGGTTAGAGGGGGGCAGCAAACCCCAAAATGACGATAACTTTTTATATTTTTTCCGTCTACTGTCCATCTCTTGTGGCTAAATTCAGTAAGAGATAGACATACTGTATGAGCTGCGGAAAAATTTGGTTCGGATATTTCATTATTTCGGGATTTGGATCCGAAATTCACATCGGTTCGGGTTTTGGATCCGGACAAAATCCGAATTTTCGTTCGTTTTGGATAAGTTTATGAATATTCGTTGCGAATACCACAGAAAATCATATACAGATATTAATACTAAAGCTGAAGCTCCCAGACCCGAATGGCATTTGGGAGACCGAATTTCCAAATGCCATTCGGGAGCTCCAGAAAGCAATACGGGTCTGGGAGTCATTATAAAGCTGAGGCTTCCAGACCCGAATGGCATTCGGGAGCTCTGGAATGCTATTCGGAAATTCGGGCTCCATTCGGGTCTGGGAGCACAAGCTTTAGTATTATGTATCTATAAGTAATATTCTGTAATACGAATGAAGATTCGTAGCAGCAACATTGTGACCCATATATACATAAAACTAAACCTTAGGGTTCCAGACCTGAGTGGCATTCGGGAGCTCCGAATGCAATTAGAAAATTCGGATTCAGACCCATACAAATGCATTAAACCAAAAAACATCTGATTGGCTAAAAAAGTCACATGTCCGATTCAATTTAGTTTTTGAACGAAATTCGGACGGGATCCGAAATTCGGAAACGTAAATTCGGATTTGGACGCATTGGGATTTGGAAAATAAAGAGTGTAATCTGCAATAGAAGGGGTATACTATGTACCTGTCTCATCCCCTGTGCCTCAGCTACGGCAGCTGAAGAATCTGATGTCTGTCTCCCCCTGCCGCTATTTGTGGTTCATTCCGCTGGCCCTTACATCACTATAGGGAACAGCGGTAATGTAGAAGCCAGCGGCTGCAACCACATTGCTCAGCAGGGGGGAGGAGTATCCAACACTCCCAATAGTGCGTTGGTTGCTGAAGATTGTTCAGCTGCTGTAACACTTCAAGGCACAGGCCACGGGACTGGTAAGTTTACACCTCACTTTTTATAGGGATCCTTGATTATTATTAGGGATGCACCGATACAGAGTATTTGGGTGAGTACTTATACTCGCCAAAATGCTCCGATGCCCGAACTGCCGGTATCAGGAAGCCAGGCAACGAATCATTACACGCTGCCCGGCTTCCTGATTGGCCGGGAAGCCGGCGCCATGCTCCCGACGAGGAGGTGGCTGTAGGGAGGAGGGCCATGTGGCAGATACAACTGCTATGACCTCAGGTCTTACTCCATTCATGGTATTGAGGTAATGAGGATATTTAGAATGTAGAAACCCAAAGAGAAGCAACCAATCAAGTTGAGTTTGCAGTTAGATGCTCCTTGGTTTAACTCCCCAGCAATGACCAAAAATGTTAGTTTTGACATGACTGACCCTTTAAACTGCTTGATAAGTAAAGAAATTCTAAAATGTGATGAGGTTCATGGCTCCCAATGGCCTTCTGCAGAGAAACGACAGCCCAGACCAAAGCTACCCACCTGTTTGTGTCCCGCTATCATCGCTGGTTCCATTCACCTTTCTCGTGTCATCATCCCAGAAATATTTGGGGGATTGGAAGATGGAGATCTCCTCTGTCTCCTGGCTGGAAAAGCCAGAGCCTTGAGGCGTGTGGAGCAAGTCATGGTGGACGTCGGTCTCTGAGTACCTGTCACTGCCACGTTCTGTAGAATCCAAGGTCTCTACGGTGGTCAATGATGAGGGGAGGTCCACCAGAGAGGTGGAGGAGAGTCCTTCTGAGCTGGGCTCTTCACAGCTCACCAAGAGGAAAGGGACGAGTCCTACGGAATAAGACAAGAAACCAGTGAGAAGAACCCAACAACAACCATGGAAGACTGTGTAGATTCTGTGGGGCCCAGAACACTAAAAGGTACATCCTGTTTGTAATGGAAATCCACTATTTGGCTTTTTTCCACTTGGTTAACATGGAGCTGTTCCTATGCTGCTGTTGTTTGGGGAGCTACCTGGGGGGTAATTATACAGACTTTACCTGCAGCGCCACTTGCTGCTGAAACTTGGTATTGTGTCTCTATATATACCTGCTGTTTTCCAACCTCTGGCCTGGTAAGCCTTCTTTAGCGTACAGTATATGCTAAAGTTTACAAGAAGCATAGAAGCTAACTTAAGAAGTTAAATGCAAAACTTTGAGGATATTAGGGTTTTCACCTGTCCAGAAATAATCCGGACATCGCAGTTTTTAAATCCTGTGTCCGGGTTTCAGGCGGCTGACACCCGGACACTTTAAATTTTTTGACAGGTGTCAGGAAGACGGAAGAGGAGATGTGCTGGCCCGTGGCTCACAGGAAGGCTGCCGAGGTCCCCAACAATAGTATAAACAGGTGCCGGCCCGCACATCTACTACGTCTTCCTGACATTACGCTGCCCACCTACAGACCCCTGGTGAGACACTGCACAGCACTCTTGAAAGTCTGCATAGCCACCTGGGAGCCCACATAGCCCACCTGAGAGCCTGCACAGCCTCCTGACACCCCACACAGCTCATCTGAGAGCCTGCAGAGTCCACCCGAGAGCCAGGACAGAGCCCAAACAAGCCACCTGAGATCCTGTAGACATCAGGGAGCCACCCCGGAACAACACATATGTTGCTTCATATTTATTTTGCATTGCTGTATAATGTATTGCTGGAACTTGTAGTTCTCTATAGCCAGTCTCCTTACTCCCTTCATTGTCTGTCTTTTCTTGCTCTTTCTCCTGGCTGCCTCTCCTCGCTCACTGGGACAGGAAGTAAGGAAAAAGCTTCCAACAGGGGACACTTCTTTGAGTTCCAAGCAGGGCTGGATTAAGAGCATCATGGGCCTTGTGCTGTCGGATGGGAAACAGCAGAGACACTCTCTAATTAGGCGGCCGCTCACTCCTTGTGGGGCTCCAGCGAGCGGCCACATTTCTGTGTTGGTGTCCCCAATGGGACACAGATGGTAAACCATTCCCTACGCTATCTGAAGTGAAATATATATCAGGTGTAGAGCTGTGCAGTTTATCAGTCCTGGACTGGCCATCAAGCAACTCCGGCAGATGGATGAGCTGGCTTAACTAAACTGACATTAGAAGACAGTCTCGTGATTTGGTCATGGACGGGAAAGTCAGAAAGCGATCTGACTTCTCTGAGGCACCATCAGTCCTGCATGACCACTATTGGGGTATAAAGTGATTGGATTTGTTCTACCTTGCCTGATTTCTCTTTAGTCCCCTATGTCAAGCCAACACTGTCTGCATGCACCTCCACCTCCATAGCTTTAATAGGAATGCTTGCGTGGTCCTCGTGTTCCTGCTTAAGGAAGAAGTGTGAGGCGGTTGGATTATTTCAGCACAATTTACTTTTCTGAGGTCTTAAATCAGCTGGTGGGTTGGGGTGGGTTGGGGTGCGTTTATCAGTATCATCCAGGCATGTTCAAATACAATTGCCAAGCTCCCAATCAGACAAACGCTGGTCTGACACCATGATGAAGGGGCATTGTTTAGACTCCCGAAATGCGTTGACTGTTGTATACCACCATCTAATGAACAATTGCATTTTTCTTGGACTGCTTTTGGTCTGGCGCTCTCTCCCCAACTTTATTTCTTGGATTTTCACTCTGGGGACCCCCTGTTAGGGGCACCCTGTTTCACAAGAGCAACCTAACCAGAGCCAGTGTGCCTTACGAAACTGAATTGGATTAACTGTTGGAAATTCTGTAACACTGGTCGCCATTGTTCCAAGCACCTCTCTGATATTTCTTGGGATTTTACAACCTTCACTTGACTTCTAACATGGTACTTACAGTTCATACACATAAAATGCCCTGCAAGTTTGATGGGCTCTGTATGGCCTGGCACACAAATGTGCCTTCCCAGACTGGTTGGCATCATAAATGGGCAGCACAATAAAACTGGCCAATAAGAACCCAATCTTGAATTCTTGTCTCTGGATTTCAGTAGGCTCTGGAATTACATGCTGGGTCTTGTAGGTCTACAGCAGACGGAGTGCCGCAAGAAACCCCAAGTGATGAAGGTTCACTGTATACCACCTAGGAGGGGCCTGGCTATGCCACTTCTCAATTACAGGCTGGATGTTCCACCCGGGCTGCGTAACAGTAGACTCGTGCAAGTGTCACGTACCAACATGACTAAATTAATTATGTGATCCTCAGGGGCCTGTTTAGCATGATGAATGTGTCACAGCCACGGCAAGGCTGTAATCTCATTACAGACAGAAGAACTGCTGATAAATAGGGAGCTGTGCCAAGTCTCTACTACAGCCTATACGCTGCTTGCCGGAGAAGCTTGCGATCTACGGCATGTATACAGCCGGCTTATTCATTGCGGCAATGCCTGCATACAGCTTGCCTAAAAAAACAGCTTATCTAGGAAGCTTGTACAACAAGCTTATTCAATGAGGCCGGACCTACATACTGCTTGTCTATAAGGCTTGCAATCTACAGTAGGTGTACCACCGGCCTATTCATTGCGGCAATACCTACACAGAGCTTGTCTAGAAAAAAAACTTTGTCTAGAAAGCTTTCTGCGGAATGTGTACAAAGGGCTTATTCAATGAGGCCGGACCTACATACTGCTTGACTATAAGGTTTGCAATCTACAGTAGGTGTACCGCCTGCTTTCTCATTGCATCAGTGCCTACACACTGCTTGTCTAAAAGGCTTGCAATCTTCGGCATGTGTACAACAGGCTTATTCAGTGATCATTGTCTACATACTGCTCATCCAAAGAGCTGCTTGTCTAAGAAGTTTGCAATCTATTGGACGTGTACAATAGGCTTATTCAAGGAATCAGTGCCTACACCCTGCTTGTCTAAAAGGCTTGCAATCTACAGCAGATGTACCACCTGCTTACTCAATGCAGCAGTACCTGCACACTGCTCATCTAAAAAAGCTGCTTGCCTAAAAAGCTTGCAATCTATGGAATGTGTACAAATGGTGTATTCAATGAGTTAATGCCTGTACACTGCTCGTCTAAAAGGCTTGCAATCTACAGCATGTGTTCAAATGGCGTGCACTGGCGATCTACGGCATGTGTACAACAGGCTTATTCATCAAGGCCGCGCCTACACACTGCTCGTCTAAAAGGCTTGCAATCTACAGCCTGTGTACAAGCGACTTATTGTAATCAGAGGTTGCCTACACACTGCTAACCTTAAAAGCTTGCCGTCTATGACAAGTGCACAGCTGATGTATTCGGGGAGGCAGTACCTACACACTGCTTGTCCCAAAAGCTTGCGATCTATGAAAAGTGTACAACAAGCTTGTTCAATGAGGCAGTGCCTACACACTGCTCATCTAAAAGGCTTGCTGTAGGTTTACAGCTGACTTGTTCAGTGAAATGGTGCTTTTACAAGGCTAGCCCAAAAAGCTAGCAATCAGCAGCACTTGTACAACATGTTTATTAATAATAGGGCAGCCCGGTGACCAGCTATGACATGCAAGCATTCAGGATTCTTTCTCTGATCAAGCAATAGTACACTGAGACCCCGGTCGGTTGCTACGGGTTACTCCACTTAGAAGATGGCTTTTGTTCTTTTTGAATAAGGGGATTTTCATTCACACGGGTTTCCGTTTTTCTGCCTGCAAGCAAATGCAGTGACACAGGCCTGCTCTCTCTATCGGTGCCCAAGGTGCCATTGGGAGCTCGGAGACATGCCCACCCTTCCTGAAGCCGCATGAATTTTTAAAATAGTATGTGCCTGTCAGACACATTGCACTGCGACAAAACCCAGTGCCATACTGACAATGGGCAACCTGTATCTACCCAGCTGTGGAGTAAGTACAAGCCTCGGCATGCCCTCACCAGCTGCCGCCTGGCTCATAATGGCAGCAGACTGCTATGTAAAGACAGATAAGCAGGACTCACCCAACACAAGTTGCCAAGCTTGCAGCATTGTTGATGTCAGTGTGTGCCCACCCTTAGATCAGCGGGCATCTCCTTCTCCCAGGAACGGATGTTCGGAGCCAGATGCCAACGTCCTACCCCAAGGCTTTCTGTAGGGTGATATCAAAGAAACATCAGGGGGTGGTGATGGAGCAGTGCAGTACCCTCTCTGAAAATCATTAGGCAAAAACAATACCCACCTTCACTGTGCAGTCACCGATTTAGCGGCCAGTGCCAGTCTACAACCGGGCAGTGCTGGAATTCGGACTGGCATGGCCAAGTGATCAAGCAGCAGGAAATGCTGTCGATCTGGTAAGGGTCCTTGCTCAGCAATCAGCGGTGAGCTCTGAGGATATCGATCTATGATCAGCCTGCAAAGGGTGCTGGTTCCTTGGCCGCTGGGCATCAAGAGCCCAGGGGATGGGCACAGTTCAACTGGACGGCTTGGTCTGGGAGATTCGAGGCTATGCTAAGAACCCATTGACCATTCCTGGTCTCTGTATAGCGTCCACCCACCCCGAGTGATCGGCTTTATCCCCCCTTGCACCTCCTCCTCCTCCTGCAGCTGAGAGCCTGGCTGGTCCCTGAGCACAGGATTCTCTCTGTCTGGTCCCTTGGATGTGTAGAAGACGCTCACTGACTCACCTCCTCCCTGCAGGGCTGGTGCAGTGGCTGTCTGCAGATCTTCCTCAGTGCCTCATGGTCCTACTGCCCGCTGCCACTTCTGCATACGCCACCTGTTAAAGGGGAACTATGGACCATTATTGAGGTTTCCTTTAATATATCCGCTGTATAGAGAATAACATACCATAAACGGTACAATCTGATTGTACAATCATCTTTAGATCTACCATTCATTTAAATAAAACCAGCCTTGCTTCGGGCACTTCTTGTTATGGGGTAACAACGCTCTGTGCTTGTTTCCCAATGTTGTTCTTGTGTGTTTTTAACCCTTACAGTACAGGGGGCCCCTCTGCAAGGGTTAAATGCTCATTCAGTCTAGGGGAAAAAGGAATAAGTTGTGATACTAACCCCATGCCTTGCTCTGACAGGATTCTGGCGCTCTCCTCTTCTCTCCGAAGCCCCCCTGGTTGTGGGCGGGCCCTCGCCGTCCATAGGTACAATGCATGTCTATTGGTCCGGAATTGTAACTGATGATGTCAGAGTGTGACCACCGGTAGACATGTGTGATTCATTTCGTTCCGAATCAAAATTTGGATGAATTTTCCGAACTTTGGACATTCCGACACATCTGAATTTCCAAATCCCAATGCATCCGAATCTGAATTTCCGTTTCCGAATTTCGGATCCTGTCCGAAACCGGATCGGACATGTGGCTTTTCTGGCCAGTCAGATGTGTTTTTCGGTTTAATGCACCCAAATGAGTCTGAACACGAATTTTCGTTACAGCAGCATGGGAGCCATATCCAGTATATACATATACTACTAAAGCTGAGGCTCCCAGACCCGAATGGCATTGGGGAGCTCCTGAATGTAATTCGGAAATTCGGATCCCGAATGCCATTTGGGTCTGGGAGCCTCAGCTTTAGTAGTATATGTAACTATATGGCTCCCAGGCCCGAATGACATTCGGGATCCGAATTGCATTCAGCAGCTCCCGAGTGCCATTGGGGTCTGGGAGATTCAGCTTTAGTATTATTATCTGTACATGGTAAACTCATCAGAAACTAACAAAAATTCGGATTTCGTCGGAGTCCGAAACCCAAACTGAATTGAATTTCGGATCCGAATCCTGAAATAGCGAAATATCCGAACCAAATTTTTCCGCAGCTTACATGTCTAACCATCGGTGGGAGCAACTTAGGGAAGCGGCTTTGGGAAGAAACGGTTGCACAGAATGGAGGAAGCTTGCCGGAACGAGAAATAAGGTATTACAACTTATTCTTCTACCCCAGGGGTAGGCAAACTTCAGTCCTCCAGCTATTGTGGAACTACAAATCCCATGAGGCATTGCAAGATTCTCACAGCCACAGCTATAACTCCCAGAGACAGGTGCATGGCGGGATTTTTCTAGTACCACCACAGCCAGAGTTTGCCCACCCCTGCTCTACTGCAGGCATTTAACCCTCTTTAACCTCCCTGAACACTACACAGAAGTAATGCAATACAGCCCGGTGCAGGACCTGGTCCTGTGATTGGACAAAGGAGCCACACACTGATGAAGTGATGTTCCTTCTAGTAAGTGTGTTTACACTGATGGCTGATGAGCACTGCAAAGAACAGAGCCGTACCATGGTCCTCCCTCTTCCAGTCTGTCTACTACAGTAGGCAAAAATTTGGGACCAGTGCTGAGCTTAAAGGAGAACTGAGGTGAGTGCTTTTCACTCACCTCATAGTTCTAGCCGACCTGTGACAATGAGACTGTCACAGGTCGGCTCAGTAGATCGGTAGGTGAGCGAACACATACCGGCGTTCGCTCACCTCTCGATACTGTCACGGCTCTCTGCCGTGACAGGGGAGGGACTGGACTAGATTCCCCCCTCCACGCCGGCACTGACTGGCGGAACAGACGGGGAGGGGGCGGGTACAGCTGGCTCTGCCTCTAGATAGGCAGAGCCAGCTGTCAGTCACGCAGCTGGGCGGATCCCGGCACAATTGTCGGGATCCGCTTCAGCTGCGGCGTCTCAGTATACCGCGACTGAGCCTAGGGTGACGGGAGGACGCTAGTTTGTGTCCTCCCGTTACCTTAAGGAGAACTATGGGGAAAAGCCTTAACCCCATAGTTCTCCTTTAAGAACTGCCTTTCTCCCAGTACCAGTCCTTCGGGGGTACAACAGCAGGTGAAATGCAGGTCAACGAATTCTGATGTTGAATGCACGCTGAATGTGCCCACCAAAGCCCAACGTGGCAGCACAGTGGTTTAGCACTTCTGCCTTGTAGCACGGGGGAGGGGGGGGGGGTCCCCAGCTCGAATCCCGGCCAGATGACTGTCGGCAAGAAGTTTGCATGTTCTCCCTGTGCTTGTGTAGGTTTCCTCCAGGTACCCCGGTTTCCCCCCACACTCCAAATGCATGCTGGTAGCTAAATTGGCCCTTGTATGTATGCGGGATAGGGACCTTAGATTGTAAGCTCTGACTGATGTGAATGAGCAACTATGTAAAGCGCTGTGTTCACTGTCAGCGCTATATAAATAACTGTAATAAGTAAATTGGACCTGTCGGTAACTTTACCAATCTGTCGGTAACTTTACCAATCTGTCGGTAACTTTACCAATCTATCGGTAACTTTACCAATCTGCCTGAACAAATTCCTATCATTATAAGTAAAGTGATTGCAGCATTGTAACATTGTAGCAAGAGATGCTGCAGCAGAGGCAGATCTGTACAAGACATTTGTGAACACAGGCACCAGGATTTAGATGATCTCTCAGTCCCTGGAGCAGATGCTGGACCAAGATGGTGCCGTACAGCCGGAGAGAAATGCATCTCCTTCTGCTTAGAAACAGTTACAAGGTAATTGTATTTGCCATAAAATGGTATAAATAAAAGCTGTGAAGTACCGAGGGGAACCAATAGTTCTGGTGAGCTGTCAATGAAGAAGAATGAGCTCCTGTTGCACGGCATTCCAGGCCTACTCAGCGGCACGCATGTCTTAGCAAAGAGGGACATTTGTGAGCGACGGCGCACTCAGACTGCAAGACAGCAACCGCCGCCAGCAGATGCCACACTGATCTGATTTAGCAAATCTCTGTTGTAGTTCACCTCTAATTATCCATCTGTTATTTAGTATCTTCACCGAGCTTAACCCACTCATCAATCTGCCGGGCTGGCGTCACACGTCAACCGTCATCCCTACAGTCCTCCTATCCAGTCCCCTGGCTGGCAGTCCATATTATATATACATTAGAATTACCCGTCAGGACTTTGGGTTTTCCAGCTGCGCGGCTTTTACTTCATTTCATTATAATTTCCTTCCCCAAATTCACAGAGCTAAATATTCCATCCTGCAATCTTAAAGTAAAAAAAAAAAAAAAATTACAAGTCCCATGAGTCATTACAAGACAGAGTTGAAGGCATAACTCCATAGGCAGGTTGTGATTTTTAGTTAAAGTGCAGCTGGAAGGCCGGAGTTGCCCGCTTTTTAGTTACAGTGCAGCTGGAAGGCCGGAGTTGCCCACTTTTTAGTTAAAGTGCAGCTGGAAGGCCGGAGTTGCCCGCTCCTGGTCTAGTGTGTTCA